AAAAAAAAAAAAAAAAAAAAAAAGAACCATATAAACAAAATGTAATGCATGATCTTGGGTTGGACCCTGGATTCAGTGGATGCCTATAAAGGCTATTATTGGGACAAGTGGCAAAATTAAAATATGGACTATACATTATTAGATAATAGCATTTTATTAATGTTGAATTATCTGAATTTGATAATCATACTTTGGCTATATAAGAGAATTTCCTTATTCTTAAAGTATTTAAAGGTAGGTCTGATGCTTATAATATACTTTCAGAAGGTTCAACCAATTAAAATTATCATTAGGGCGCCTGGGTGGCTCAGCCAGTTGAGTGTTGGACTCTTGGATTTGGCTCAGGTCATGATCTAATGGTCCATGGGTTCGAGCCCCGAGTCAGACTCTGCACTGACAGTGTGAAGCCTGCTTAGGATTCTCTCTCTCCCTCTCTCTCTGACTCTCCCATACTTGAGTGTGCATGCTCTCTCTCAAAAAATAAACGTTAAAAAATAGTAATAATAAAAAATAATCATTAAGTTAAAAAATAGCTACATATCCACAGAGGGAATGATAAAGCAAATGTGCCAAAAATTTTAACAATTTACTCACTTAAAATAGAAAAGCACATCGTATCAATTAAGAAATTTGGCAAAGTAACTCAAGACAAAAATACCCCTTTTTGAAAAAGGAGTTATGATAATTCTCAGAGTAATGGGAATAATTAAGAACAAGGTCTGCTCAAGGTAAAATGTCTAACATAATGATACAAGATACTATGGAAAAGTTACCTGAACAATTTTAGCCATCTTAGAAGACTCATTTGTTTAATGTTGTAATAACTGTAATATTACTGTATATGAAACACTCACACAGGAAGAGATGACCTCCTTCCTCTGTTCGTCTTCTTTGCAATTACAGGAGTTCCAAAATGCTCTGGATTTGTTAAGGGAAGCTGGTCAAGTGTCTACATAAGAAACAACAGACAAATTAAATCACATCTTGCCTTGATGTTAGAAGTTATTCAACTCAAAAAGTCCATCCATGTCACCCTACCTCACTCTCGGCAAAATGTCTCTCTCCTTTTAGGCAAAGTGAAGTGCGTCTCAGTGTTCTCTCATCACCATCATCAAACACTACAAGAAGCAAGAGATATCAGAGAATTTATACACACTAAGTAAACATGTCACTGCAGAGAACGATATTGCTGCTATTTAGTTAGGGCTTAATATTTGTAAGAACTATTATTTTTTTTTCAAAAGCTTTTAAAATGTACACAGTACATTTCTCATTCTGTAGATACTGAACACAGGTTACATGGCTGCTCCCAACTGCCTAAGTGTCTCCATTCACTTAGCAACCTAATCAAAGCACCAGTGATTAAATTACCTTTAATCCTGGAAGAATGAGCAAAAAAAAAAAAAAAAACCTGGTTTACAAAAAAAGAAGTATTATGGGTTTTGTTCAGAACAGTTATCAATGAAGTATCTCTAACTTCCAGAAACTGTTTGACTTCTAGGAATGCTTCTTGGATTATTGTACTACCTCTACTTATTTACATGATAACTTCCTTTAGTAGAAGTCTATTGGGTACCAAATTCTAAAGTCCTAAGATTCAACATTTTTCTTTTGCTGGAGAAGGATTAAGAAATTTAGAATTGGGGCGCCTGGGTGGCGCAGTCGGTTAAGCGTCCGACTTCAGCCAGGTCACGATCTCGCGGTCCGTGAGTTCGAGCCCCGCGTCGGGCTCTGGGCTGATGGCTCGGAGCCTGGAGCCTGTTTCCGATTCTGTGTCTCCCTCTCTCTCTGCCCCTCCCCCGTTCATGCTCTGTCTCTCTCTGTCCCAAAAATAAATAAAAACGTTGAAAAAAAAAAATTAAAAAAAAAAAAAAAAAAAAAAGAAATTTAGAATTAAAGGTTGAAACAAGGAAACATCAGAAAGATGAAATTTTCTTAAATTTCAAAAGTCAGTTATAATTACACAGAAGCTTTCTCAGAAGTTTTTACTTTTACTACATTAAAAAAAAATTTTATAGGCTTAATTTTCCAGAAACATACTCTTATTTTAACATCTAACAGTTACCAAGTGTATTAAAAAGAAAATGCTCTCAGAAGACACCTGATTGCCCATCATTATGAAGAAATAAAATATAAAAAGGTGGAATCCTTACCTCAGATACTTATAATGCAAACACGTATCAATATATGTTTGTGTATTGTATGAAAATAACATATACACAGGAAGGCATATACACAGAAATAGTTATTTTAAGATGTAATCCCAACTTCCATAATTCTAGATGCTTTTTCATTCTAACAGAATAAATTAATGTTAATAAAGGGAAACTCTACATTACTTTGCTTTAATAATATTTAATCATTAACTTATTTTTTTCATGCTAAGAACTTATGTAAGAGCACTCAACTTCTTCAGTATTTATCTACCTCAGTCAGTTCTTTCTCCAAAAGTAAAGACAACTAGTTTAAATTCTCTTACATGCAGGAGACAATGCAGAGAAAATGAAAAGTTCCTGAAGCACATATTCAGAGAACCATGTTTGCACAAAAGGAGCCGTGTTGTACAGTCAATAATGCAGAAATTAATGACCGCTGCAAACACAACGACAGGATAAAACACAATATCCTCCAACAATTACATTACTAATCTACACTTGATTAACAGTGCTCTAAACATTTGTAACAAAATTATGATTCACATGGTGTCATCAAATCTAATAAATACACCACTGTTCTTTTAAAACTTCAAGATCATGAAATTATTATACCAAACTTAAAATAATCCTTCATGTTTGTATTAATATCCGTAAGTATATTAAAGAATAAAAGCTTAAAAGTTCCAATTTTCCTTAAAGGCTACAATATATAAGATGGTAACAACGGACACACACATACACACCCATGTACACACACATTTAAGTGGAGGTGTGAGGAAGGAACATGAGAATATCAGAACAATCCATAATATCAAATTTATGCAAAATGTTTTCCACAGTGTTTCATCATTAATCAATGGCAGCCTCAAATCAAAATGTTCTGATGAGAAATTTCAACAATTTAAAATCTTTAATTCTTGTTTTTTTAAAATAATCACTTTAAGGGTGCCTGGTTGGCTCAGTTAAGTGTCCAACTCTCGATTTTGGCGCAGGGCTTGATCTCACAGTTCGCGAGTTAGAGCCCCATGTCGGGCTATGCGCTGACGGTGTAGAGCCTGGTTGGGATTTTCTCTCTCTTCCTCTCTCTGTCCCTCCCACATGCTCTCGCACGTGCTCTCTCTCTCTCAAAATAAATAAATAAACTAACTTAAAATAATCTCTGAAATAATCAGATTTTTGAAGGAAAAAATACTTTTAACTTCAACATACTTTATCATGGATAGAAATGATGTAAGAACCAAAAAAACTTCTCAAAAGAGAACTGTGGCACCAACAACAATTTTATGATTTTATATAAGAATGCTTTCAACTTTGAGTGAACAAAGAGAAACAATTTACTTTTTTTTTTTAATTCACGGACTATACAAAGGTATGTATTTGAGTACTTTATACAAGTCTGAAAAGCTACATAACTTCTCAAGATTTTCTGAAAGACAAATAGAAACCCCAACAACACAGTGAACCTATTAATCAAGACATCCCCAATTATCAAAATCATGAAGAAGTTCCACCTAGAACAAGTTTCCTCTATAACTTCCATGTTAGAAGTATCATCTAAAAGAACACCAAACACTCTTCAGGCACTGAAGAGTGACTCTGGCATTTTGATAAGAGTGAAATAATTAATTGGTATATATAAACTGGTGTATATAGTATATTTAGCTTTTTTTTAAGTTCAAGATGTCTATTACAGTACGCCAAGAGGAAAAAGTCTGACTGTAAGGATTTAGTAATTCTATGAAATATTTTCTACTTGACAAAAATGGTATTTAAATAGACTATTGAGTGCAAAACATACAAAAGCAGTATCTCTGTTATTATGTTAAATACAGATACAAAAACTTAATTTGAAAATGACAAAGCTAAGTCTCTCTCAATAATTGATCAGGCTAGACAAAACAATGCTAATGCAAACAAATATACGAAGCCTAACTCTACACTTGAGAATTAAAAGAAACAAAAGCAACAGGGATCTATCTAACTACTAAATACAAAAAGATCTACCCATGAAAATAGCACTGTTAGATGCTGGAGGATAGTAAGAGAACAATAGTAAATTAACTTTATCTCTCCAAAGATGTAATTGGCTATCACCTATTAAGCTTCTACCATGTCCTAATTCTCACAGCAGCCTCTGCCAGGTAGGAATCGCTATCCTCTTTTATAAAGAAATTGAGAATCAGAAGGCTAATCAATGAGCTACAGTTTTGTTAAGGGGGAATCAAAATGCATAATAAATAGGTATGGGGCAGAGGCATAAAATGAACACAGGAGAGAAGTCAAGAATTCTGACTTTGCAAAAAGAAAATATTATTGTTGTATCTGTGTATACCAGTTAAAATTAATAAAATATTTATATATACATTCATATATTAATTAAAGTATTTCACAGTCGATAAAAACTTTAAAATTACATACTCTAGGTAAAACCAATAGTTTTGTTACATAAACTCATTTGTGATACAGAAATCCCTCTGCAGCCAAGGTCCAGAACTTCAGAAATCAAGAAACTTAACAAATGTATAATGATATTGACAAAATATCATGGGAATGCTAAGTCTTTTGGAAGGCCATTTAAACAACAGGTTAAAGCACATCACAGGAAGGCATAGATTTCTTTGTTGCTTAGTACTTTCTAAATGCTCTTCTAGTCCTGGTTTTGAAAACATTTGTGTGGTTGACTCTGATTATAAAAACACTTGTCATAAGAGGTTCTAACTAAATTAAAAAGCCTTGGGGCACCTGGGTAGCTCAGTTGGTTAAGCATCTGACTCTAGATTTCGGCTCAGGTCATGATCTCACAGTTGGTGAGTTCACGTCCCCAGTTGAGCTCTGCACTGACAGCACGGAGCCTGCATGGGATTCTGTCTCTCCCTGTCTCTCTGCCCTGCTTACGTGTGCTCTCTCTCAAAATAAATAAACATTAAAAAAAAAAAAAAAAAAGCCTTAGTAAGTCTACAGCACATTCTACAAAAGTCAGTCCATTCACCAGTTTAAGCTAAACCTCCTCTACTCCATGAACCATAACTTCCATGAGATCTGATACAACTGATATACAAAACAGTAACCAGAAAGCATGAAAAAATCTTGAGTCTTAAAAAGCATTTGTCACAAAGATATATAATCAAATAAATTTTAGTGTAAAATTTTATATATTGTACATATGTATATTTTATATGTAAATTACTAAAATTAATAACAATTCTGTCCTTTACATTTTCCTTATTTTTCAAGTACAATGTGTTATTTTTATATTCCAAAAAAAGCAAAAGAAGAGCAGTTTTAGAATGTTTTATGGACAGCTGTATTTACCAGGAGTTAATGGCAACATTCAAGTGGAGATACAAATTCCAATCCTAATTAATACCTTTGAACCACTAGAAAGGTAACCATACACTTCTATACATTGCAGATTCCTTATCTTTAATGCAAAGATAAGAACTGCCAATTGAATAAACTATGCTAGGGAAGCACTGTTTTATGTTACGAAGAGGAAATATTTCCAAGGCTCAAAAAACAAACAAAAAATCCATAAACTCAGGCCACTTATTATTCAACATTAAAGAGGAAGGTAATATTAGATTTTTAAAAATTAGTTCATATTAGATCTATAGTCTCTTTTTTTTTTTTTTTTTCAACGTTTATTTATTTTTGGGACAGAGAGAGACAGAGCATGAACGGGGGAGGGGCAGAGAGAGAGGGAGACACAGAATCGGAAACAGGCTCCAGGCTCTGAGCCATCAGCCCAGAGCCTGACGCGGGGCTCGAACTCACGGACCGCGAGATCGTGACCTGGCTGAAGTCGGACGCTTAACCGACTGCGCCACCCAGGCGCCCCTATAGTCTCTTTTTTATAATTGGTTATTCATCTATCGTAGGAAAAGTACCTATATTACGTAAGTTAATATCAGACTCATTAGGTAGCTTTTGATCACCAATGATCATAACTCTTATTTGATCTAAACCAGTAGTGTGGTATCCTCTTTTCTTTTGTTTTTAATAGTCAAAGTTTGAGATCTCTTAAAATAAAAAAGTGATATGGAGATCATTAATACTTTGTGTAACTTTCTGATTCTACCTATATAACACTTCACTAGGAATTAGAAACCAAGAAGAATTTCAGAAAAGAGGAATTAAACCCAACAGGTAGTAGTCACTCAATTAATTGAAAAATATAGAAGGCTCATGACCTGTGAGAGAGGACACATTTTATTTTGCCATCTTTTAGGCTCATTATACTCTAATCATTCTTTATGTGGGCTACATGCTTCAATATCTAAATATTCTTTATAACAGAGAGTGCTATATTGAACATACTTAAGTGAACAGTGCCTGTTAACATCTTAGATTTTTTAGGTCACTTGCCATCATTACAAAGATGCAAAAAACTTAAATATTTTGAATTTTTCTCCTGAATAAGTCTCCATTTTTTCTTAGTATGGACTACTTTACTAATGTGTAATACCTGCATTAAATTCACCCAATGTAATTATAAAAAGAAAGATTCTTGGATTGCCATCCCCAGACCTACTAAATTGAAGAGATTTGGAGTCCTCAAATCCTCATTTTTTAAACAAACACCAAGTGATTCTTATGTACACTAATGCTTGATACACGAATTACATGCAATTAAGATGCTAAGCTCTTTCAGAAAAAGAATTATACAGTTTCTTCTGTAATTACTCATCACAGAAAATCACCACAGAGAATGCTCAGTAGCAACTAGCTTTTAGAAATGCTAAAATGCCATTCATGTAAAGGATAAAGATCTGCTATTCTGGAGTGCAGAAGTCCCAAATGTGAAAACATGAGAAGTATCGCTTCTGCAGAATCACAAGCATTATATCAGTAAAACTTCACAAGTACTGTGAATGCAGCCTTGATATTAAATATCAAATAGGATGCAATATTAGTATTTGAATACACATCACATAATCTTGCGTAACTCTGCACATATCAGTGCCTATAATTTTTTTTTACTTTTGAGAGAGAGAGAAAGAGAGCATGAGCAGGGCAGGGACAGAGGGAGAAGGAGGATCCCAAGCAGGCTTCACGCTGTCAGTGCGCAGCTGGACGCAGGGCTCGAATTCACGAACTGGGAGATCATGACCCGAGCCAAAACCAAGAGTCGGAGGCTTGACCGACTGAGCCACCCAGGCGCCTCTCAATGCCTGTAATTGTTATCACTGCTTTAATATAATAAAATTGTATTTACTTAATCTCTAAAAGTTAACATTAAACTTAGTTTTTAAATCTCTAACAACTATCAACAGCCACAACCAAGCTTCCTAAAAATACGTAGTTCATAATAACAGCACCATTGTGAACTGACACTGCTTTCTAAGAGGCCCAAGAAGAATAAAAATGGTTAGAAAATAGTAGTTACATACAACAAACTGCTACTACTAATAGAAGCCACAGAGTAAACACAAGAAGTACAATTTTTAAACAAAGCACATTCTTCACAGCTTTGAGCATCACCTGAAGATGAATGATTTTTACCCAAAGCCACAAATCAAGTAAACTAAAAGTAAACCTACAGGATCATTTCCTTTCCTTAAGGAAACCTCAACACCATAATTACACCACTTATACCAAGATATAAATGTAAAAACCAAACAATGCTATAGATGTTCAGTATAAAATAAAGGATGGATGTTATCCACAGGATTGTGTGAGAGGAGATTAGGAAATCTTAATCATTACTATTCTTATCAACATAATAACAGCAACTATATAAGTAGTACATTTAAGTTTTAGTTTACATGCATTAAGACACTTGTTGCTACTCCCTAAAGTTTTTTATTTTTTTTTTTAATTTTTTTTTTCAACGTTTTTATTTATTTTTGGGACAGAGAGAGACAGAGCATGAACGGGCAAGGGGCAGAGAGAGAGGGAGACACAGAATCGGAAACAGGCTCCAGGCTCCGAGCCATCAGCCCAGAGCCTGACGCGGGGCTCGAACTCCCGGACCGCGAGATCGTGACCTGGCTGAAGTCGGACGCTTAACTGACTGCGCCACCCAGGCGCCCCAAAAGTTTTTTAAAGCAAGCGTAAGCTTATGCATGGAATGTTAAGTATGCATTCTCATTAGCAGCACATGTATCTTTCCTTTTTTTATAGTGAACATATAAAAATTTTTTTATATTTATTTTTGAGAGAAAGACAGAGCAAAGTGGGGGAGGGGCAGAGAGGAGACACAGAATCCGAAGCAGGCTCTAGGCTCTGAGCTGTCGTCAGCACAGAGCCCAATGCAGGGCCGAATCCACAAACCGTGAGATCATGACCTGAGCAGAAGTCGGATGCTTAACTGACTGAGCCATCCAGGCACCCCTCTTTTTTTTTTTTTTTAATGTTTATTTTTGAGAGAGAGAAAGTGTGTGTGTGAGCAGGTGAGAGGCAGAGAGAGAGGGGCACAGAGGATCTGAAACAGGCTTTGTGCTGACAGACAGGCCGATGCGGGGCTTGAACCCAAGAACCACAAGATCATAACCTGAGCCGAAGGTGGACACTTAACTGACTGAGCCACTCAGGCACCCCATAGTAGCACCTATATCTTTTCTGAAAGGTGTTGAGACTTGACTAAATGAAAAATCAAAAATTAAGTTATGATCATCTAGACTTGAATCTACTCTAGCCAGAATTTTTTTAGTCTTTAAATTTTGTGGTAACATCTGTATTATCCTTATGTAAAACAAGCAACAATACATTAAAAGATTGCAGCTGTGCAACCTTAATTGTAATTACAGGAAAAGTAAAAATGTCTGATTACTTACAATACTAACTTGTACTGACTTTCTAATGAAAGAAAAATAAGCATATAACTTAACTTTCTTGAAAAGAAATATCTAGGTAACCTAAAAAAGAAGTACATTCTTTTTGTTGTTGTTGTTTTAAGTTTGTTTTGACAGCGAGAGAGAGAGAGGGAGAGGGAGAATCCCAAGCACGCTCTGTGCTTTCAGAGCAGAACCTAACGTGGGGCTCGAATTCAACAAACTATGAGATCATGACCTGAGCCAAAGTCAAGAGTCGGACTCTTAACCAACCGAGCCACCCTGGCACCCCAGGTACCTTCTTGGATCAAATAGCCACAAGTGACCAAAGAGATATTATTTTTGTTACCAGCAGCCATCATTAAAATTTCAGCCAACTATATCAAGTAAATTGACAGTAAATAATACCTATTTCTGCCAACATAATGATTCAGTGTATTTACAAAATAAAAATATATGCAACTCCAAATTAAATCCTATGTATTAAATTAACTACTTACCCACAGTATACCAACTAGCATCTGTCAACTTGCTGATAATAGCTTCCTGAAAGGATCCATCAGATGTCCTTGTTTCAACAATAGCTCCAACCTAAAACACAAAATTGAAATTTCATTATCAAATTTAAACAGACCAAATCACTCCCATGAACTATATGACCTGGGTTAAAATATATATTTATGATAATTCTACCTTATATACATTGACTTAGATCTTTATCATTTATAGCACTCATGTATTTATCATGCAATCTGAACCCCAAAATGCTTTGGCATTAGTAAGATAGTTGATATTATTATCCTTATTTTACACATTGAATATTGTGGCTCGGATGAGAGGATGAGAACACAGTCTCTTAAGTATTACTTCAGAGCTTTTGTACTATATCACATTGCCTTCAAGAGAATTGTGTAATATAAGAATCAGAAAACCATAAGATAGCAAAAGTAGCTTCAATTTTCTTTCACAGAAATATTGAATACTGGATTCACCATTCATATTTAAGGGACCTTTTAGATAAAGGTTCACCTGAGGAGAGAGGGATGGACCAGTTGACCTTCTTTCAGCTTCCAGACCTTTGTCTATCAGATATTAACCGAAGTGGTACTCTGACATAACAAAGATTTATTACATAAACTTAGAAATGTTTGGCCAGAACATGGATGGAAAACACAATATAGGTACTCACTAAGCTAAATTATGAAGTCAACATACTTGGTAACTTAGAACAACAGAAGATTCAAAGTTATAATGCTAGTATATTATTTAGCATATATATCTAATATATCTATTATATAGATATTATATATTATATAGATATATGTCTGACGACAATGTAAAAAAAAGAGGTATTCAATCTAAGAATTAAAAACAAAAGGTGGCTGAAAACTCATGTTTATATATACACTAAAATTACTGTCTGTAAGATGATTTACCTTTCTAAAGGATATAGCCAATGTAACATCATAACATACTAACTCTACAACATTTCACTTGTATTTTTGTTTTCTGATTAACATACTTATAAATTTTAAAACTGTCTACAAATAGAAAATTTAATAATTTACTGTATGTATTTGTGATTCATCGTTTCAGATTTTAAACTGCAGAATATACGTACTCTTAAAGGACCCTTTACTTGATCGTCCTGCACCAATTGTGTAGTATTATCCTGTTTCAGGAGTACCTGGAAGACATTTTGTACAATAATTTGCATGTTAACTTTTAAAACAACATGTTTATGATGTCTTTAATCTATGCTTTCTTACCATCCTGTGGTTACTTCTGTTTTAATACTTATTACATTGTCTAATATTTACGTTTATTGTCTCTCTAATTGTGAGCTCCTTGAGGGCTACAATCCTCCTTCGTCACTATAACCCCAGCAGTTAGCAAATGTCAATGCGTATTACAGGCACTTCATAAATGTTTGCTGAATTAATGAACTATACAAGATTTATAATTTGAAGTGATTGCTATAAAAGTTTAAAACTGCCTTCATTGTTCTTTATCAACAAGTTATAAAAAGTTCTGTCACAAAGTATTAAAAAAACAGTATCAAACATTATTGCCACATACGAGGTAAACAAATTAAAACCAGAACCCTGTTGGTCCTTTATAAAGTAAACTGAAATGATAATCATGATATGTATTTCACATACAAATAAGTATTCTTTTTTACTACAGATTCTCCCAAATATATACAGGGCAATCGTTCAAATAGATCAAGTACCCAAATATGAAAATTGAAATTCTATATAATGTATGTATAAGAGCTCCCCAATCACTGTATTGACTTTAAGTAAGTATATCTAGAGCCACAATACTAACAGAAAGTTTAAGTTCTCAAAGAAGTCCAAGTAAATATTTAGTAGTCAAATCCCATATAGCTGACATAGTAAAAATGCCAAATGAAACAAAGAAATAAATGTCAAATGATATCTTAACAGTACTTGAAGAAAAATTCCACCAGATCAAAATTGAAACACAAATCTCATAATAATCACAGATAAATCTATTTCTCTACCACACAAATCATACTCTTCTAATTCACTGGTTCTCAAATGTCAACATGCAGCAGAAACACTTGAAGGGCTTATTAAAACACAATCACTGGACCCTACTGCTGGACTTTCTGACTCAGTAGGTCTGGGGTCAGGGCCTGAGAATCTGCATTTCAAACAAGTTCCCAGATGAAGCAGATGCTGCTAGTCCAGGGCCACACTTTGAAAATACCTGCTCCAGTTCATTTACCCATTCAACGTATTTTGAGTGTCTACTATGTATCAAGCACTAGTCTAGGTGTTGGGGATAGAACAAGTCAAACATTTCCTCCTTTTATGGTGCTTCACTCTTGCAGGAAAAGATCAGGTATGTAAGTGAAAAGCAAACTGCAAAACCAAAAGTACAGCATGATCTAATAACAACAACAACAACAACAATATTGTTACAGTAGGCTCTGCACAATATCTGACAGACCATATAAATCTCTCTGTAGTAGTATCAAAGAGGACTTTCACGAACTTTCTTACATAGCTCTGTAATGTTAAAGATGTTTATAGTAAGTGTGGATTACTTTCGTAATTTAAGTACAAGTATTAAAAACATTTATGTGGGAAAACTACTGGAATGAAACTCGAAAATGTTAATAGTTTCTGAGAGGTAAGCGATGGGTATTAATCTTTTGGTACTTTTCTGTATTTCCAAATATTATACAGAAATAATGCAATAACTTTTTTCTGGTCATAAAAGGACCTTAAAAATAAAATTCTTAAATCATTTTTAACATGGTCTTTAAAACAATTCCACTATATTATTTTTCCTAATCACTTGAAATCATCTCTACCTGAACATTATGAAAGGGGAGAAGAGAGATCACAGCCTAAGTAAGCATGCCACAACAGCAGAGAGCCAAATAAAAGAAGTCTCATGAATGTGGTATTTTCAGAGAAGCATTTTGGAATAACTTCTCATTTCGAGTTCTTTATTTCTCAATTCTTAATGTGCTTTTCCTATAGATTTGTATATAACAGTGCTTTCACATAATAATGATTCAGGAAGTCATGATTCAGTAAAATGTTGATTTGCAGTCTCCCCCTCCCCAACTCTCCTCAATCCAGGTTGCATGAAAAAAAAAAAATTACCTTAACTTTTACCAGCCTTTTCACAGTCTTAATTTTTGCCTCACAGAAGGCACCTCGGTACTTGGCACTGACATCAGTTCCCACTGTCAGGTAGGCAGGCTCATCCGCCGCCTGATGAAAGAACACAAAATGTGAATGTCACTAGTATTTTCCCCTACACTCCAACCTTAAGCCACATTAAAAGGTTCTACATTTAAAGTGCTAAGAATATTAACAGTACTGTTTATTACTAGCATTAATAATTGGGAAAATACCCCTTAAGCAAGCACTTGCATTCCCCTACTGCATAAACTATATCCTGACAACAGAAAACGTTTAAGTTCTTAGTAACTGAGAAGTATCAGCAAGGAAATATGATAATGTTTTTTCTTCCAGATATAAAATGTTTCAACAATTCTATAATTTAAGAAATGAACACATTAAGAAACAAACAAACAAACAAACAAAAAAACGGGCACCTGGCTGGCTCAGTTGGTAGAGCATGCGACTCCTGATCTCGGGGTTGTGAGTTCAAGCCCCATGGTGGGTGTAGAGCTTACTTAACAATAATAATAATAAAATTAAATTAAAAATACAAAATAAAAAGACCTCCAAAACCAGAAAAGGTATACTCATAGTAAGTGTCTCATAAAACTTTGAGTTATTCACTTATGGCCTCCTGGAAATTGTGTTTTAAAATTAGAAGAAATATCACTGTTAAGATTAATACTAACAAGACATGGTTAAATGTTTAATAATATAGCTACATTAAAGCAATATCTCTTTGGACACAGTATATCTGCATAGATAAGAAATGAAGCCAATCCTTTTGATAAGGAGAGCATTATCTGGGGGAATCATTAGCTAAAAGCTACATATTAAAAAATCTAAGTCTAAATTCAGCTGATGAATGCAGAGATATGAACTGATGGCTCAAAACTTGGAGCTGTACCTAATTTATCACACTAATCTTCTTGGTGTAGAAAAAAATAAGCTTTACTAAAAAATATCTACTTTTTAGCAAATGGTCATGATCAGAATGATACATTGAAAGATGTGGCAAATTTCATGCTACCATTCATCTTAATCTTGATGGTAAGAGAATGATAGCTACTTTGTCATCTTACCTTTTTTTTAAAGTTAAGTGTTTTCAATATAGTCTCAATTCAATGGAGCTAACACTGCTAAATGCAAAGGTAACAGTGTACACTTTAGAAATGATACTTTTAAGTAGGAAATGATGTTTCCTTTTCCAGTAAGTTTTTCCAAGTAACAGTAAAGAAAGTAACATGTCATTTCCAGAAGATAGGAAAACAAGAAAGTTTAGGGGGATGCTGTATTTCAGAGCTTAATACACTGAGACAGTAAACGAGTAAGGAATCAAATACCTTTTAAAGTCAGTGCATTTACAGATAATGCAAATTGAAGAGGAACACTCTGGCAAATAAATATCTGATCTGAAACATTCAATGCCACTGCACTACACAAAGCTATACCTTCCTTGCCCTTCAAACATCACATACAATGTTTGCACTACTAGCTGTCTTCAGAAGAGTATCTTTTCAGGTTGTAGTATGTTTTAAAATATTTACTACAACAACTGAACTGAAACAAAACATTAGTAGCTTTAGTCCACCTTCAAATATTTTAGCTACAAAATTTCAGAGAAGAGCCGCTATCTCCCTTGCACAATCCACATATTCCTTCCTTAGAAAATCATACTGGCATTGAGGAAGAAAAAAATTTCAAAAAATCCCCCAAAGAACCAAACAGGACAAAAGCTTTACTTCTGCAAAGGCTGCTGCCAACACAGGAAGTGTTTAAAAATACTAGCCCAATGGACAACAATGGAAAGGCTGCACCAGCCTTTCCAAAGTGCTAACTGCTTCAGAGAGGGGCCGGACTGACTGCATTAGACACAATGATCATTTCTCACTCTTTCAACACGTCCTCATTTTCAGAAAGCGCTGCTTAGTAGAGGAATCAATTTCAAGTAGCGAAAAAAAAAAAAAATGACATTCCACAGCAGCAGCCTCACGACAAGCAGTGTCCAGGGCACGAGGTTCAGAGCAGCGTTGACTCCACTTACCTTCATTTTCACTGGCGATCTGTGGGGTTCCAGCTCAGCGAGCTATCTTCTCCGTCGCTAGAATCATGGGGAGGGGAAAGACAGGCACAGAATCAGTCAACAGAGGGGAGCGACCCAAGGAAAGAAAGTAAACAAACGCCAGCGGGGAGGGGCAGAACCCTAACCAGCGAAGGGAGCCGATCCCCCGGAGGGCAGCCAGGACGCAGGAGCTGAGGAAACGGCGAGAACCCCTCGGGCGCCAAAGGGCAACCCGTTCCTCCCCGGAGTTCGCCAGCGGCCCACCGCGCCCC